TGTACGGCAGTTAAGCATCAGTACCAACATTGATTTTGCTCTCTTTGATGATGATGATGATGACTGTGAAACCGTATTCTATTGTTCTCGTATGCTCGATGTTTTAAAACCCTTGAGTAACGATTGACATGACGCACACACAACTGGGGAATGCAAACCATTTGGGCTGGGTATTCTGTGAGACATTTTGTTTGAAAGCGGCAAATCGCATCCGATGTTAACCCGAATTCTACAACGAAGACGAAGCACATTCTTTCGGTAAATACCTATTTTCAGACCTAAAGATCCTTACAAATACATAAATGCACAAAATAATTTCATATAGTCTCTGACTCCGTGTATAAATATAACTCACTGAATCTGAATCTATTAAAAATGGTTTGCTAAAGCCCTTCTAGACAGGATAACCCACAATAAGTCAAAATTGTGTTGAAAAAACGAATGGACCCTCCTATTCAGGATTTGAACCACGTATATTTCAACTAAATATTGTATTTCAGGGTTCAAAGCATGCCGCGCAAATGTGTGAAACAGTGAAGACATCAGAGGCGTTGATGCCTCTAACCTGTTGTCTCTTGAATGAGGACATCTTGTTCGGTATACTAAAGTCGATTCCAGTGGAGCTCATGTTTGTGCCCCAACGAGAAACACATGTACTAAGTCCATTGGTAGGTATTTGGCGGTGTTCTATATCGATCGTCTCGCCCATCTGATCAGACGGCTTTTTACACCTTAGGAAATTGTAATTGTTGGTAATAGGTTTATTTTGAAATGTTACTGCATAACCAACCGAATTTCGGGCATCCAAACTCCTTCATCCATGTCTGCAAATTCTTGCACATACATTTTTACACTTTCTGGTCCCTTAATATTCTGAACCATTGAGATATACAAGACTGACGATGAGATGGTTTGAGGCATTTCTTTAATAAATGATCAGTTCTGAGTCAACCGCTAATAATATACCAGCAAACGATGGACAAGCCAAAACCTGAAACTCAGGTTATGCGATGTGACCACTACTTGACCCAGTGTGTTCCGAATAGCTGGTTCTTATCCGGACTTTTGAGCTAAAATGTAGCACCTCTGTGTATATATTCTCAAACCATGAAGCTTTATGATTTGCTTCATCTTTATGGGGATTTGTTCAAATTAGTTTTATCCGTTATCACTGGCGCACAGTCAATTCTGAATTTGCACAAGGTCAATACAAGGATGATGGCCACGTGATATTTTTGTGTACAGCGAAGAAAAATCGCCAATACTATTTTGCGTTATGAGCCGATGTTGCACAAACGCAGCAGGCAACGGTCAGAATCAAGCAAAATTCGAGGAATCAGCAGATTTATTATTCATAAACTCCACTTTCGTTTGAGAAGCTAGAACAATCATGTATCAGCCACCTCTTAGCATCATTTTCGTAATCATGAGGCGACCAAGTTTTAATGCAGCGAACTGCCTGCATACCAAAGAGGAGCTGAGCAGCTGCAGTGCTCTGCTGGGATACGGGATGCCGTTTTCTGAGTTGCCACAATTTGTAGCTGGCTCCAATCGGAAAGACCGTGCCTTACGAATTTCTTGAGTAGTCTTTTACCTCACGGCTCACTGGCTATGAATCACCCGCAAATGGCTGCACTTGCCCCATCCGGGATGTATCGCCTTGGCATTGTAACCAAGGGCCATCGAGAAAACTCCAAAGGTCGCTTCAAAAAAGCTTATGCACTGGTCTGACAGTCTCGAGGTTGCAGTTCAGGTGTCCAGGCACACTCACACGAGATGCATATGTCGTATCACTGCGAGGGAGAAGTAATCCTGTAGAGTGACGGCTAAGCGTGGTCTACCGAATGACCAAATATGCATCGCCCCTTGTTTGAGGCACCTAAGGTCATGACCAGCAGGACTGCAAAACCGTCGTGAGATAAATCCACGCTAACTGATTTATAGTTTCCGGCGCTAAATAAGAAGTGCTCCCAGATAGTTGAAAACTATGCTGATAAATGCACGTGCCAAATGTGGCTCACTTGTATTCTAATTTTCTGGATATCCAGAATCGTCTCAATTCGAAACGGAAAGAAAGCTGATTCGTAGATTCTCATAAAGGAAACTACTCACGAGGTTGCTGAAAACTCATTGACACCCCACGACCAGTTTCGCCCTTCTTGGAGCTCATCAGGTAGGCGCTGTCCCCGAGTTTCCGTCAACCTTATGATCTATTTGAATTTATTCTTAGATGTTTTCTTACGTAACTTCTCCCTCTATCAAAAGTAATAGTCGGATTACAATTCACCGGAAAAAATAGTTCTTACATTCGTTTTCTAGCCACTGCCATCACCTTTTGAGGACCTGTGGAAACAGCTCAACCCGAGGTGCCATTTGGCAGTGGAACGTCCAAGGGTAAATCCTGCTGCGTCGCTGGTCAAGGTCCGCGAACAACGACCTGCCATCAGTGATAAAGTAAAGGGTCATAACCCAAAGGACGATCCAAGCACACTGAAATTCCTTTTTTGAGACTGTGATCAACCGACTGTCCCTCTGGCCGCTGGTGTCCAAGGGATCGCCTGTTCTATCACACCAGCTACTGAGATAATGAATCTTGCCCCATGGACAGTGGGGATCTGCAAGCTTGTCCCCAAGGTGAGTGCGCGTGACTCACTTGCAAAGGGAGCGCAAGGACGCCATGCGAAAACAATTGTGAGATCAGTATGGTATCCGCGTCGCATCTAAGGTGCTATCTGGCATTATTTTGCGTAGGTTGGTCGATTGTCGGGGGAGAGACGGATTCGTGAGAATCGAGCTGCATTTCGATCTAGCCGATGATGGATCGACCACATCTCTATTTTGAGACAAACTCCTGAACAGAGCCACTCATTCAAGCGTCCCACGTAGGTCGCACGATCTGAAAGCTGCCTTTAATTCTGTCGATCGTCAGCAACTTTGGCAGTGTCTCGCGGTCAAAGGTGTCCCTTCCAAAATTATGCCGATTGTGAGTTCTTTGTTTGGGAAGACCGTACGAGTACACGACAAGTTTTCGCCTAAGTTCACCACGTCATGATGTAGGACGAGGTTGCCCTCTCTCACTTTTCCTTTCCGACTTTGTTCTTGATGTGCTGCTTTAAATTTCTCTATCTGCCTCTGAAACCCCGGGAGTCGAAACACTTCCGCGACATTCACTCAGAGACACTGAGTATGCAGACTATATTGCTCTCCTTGGTTCGAATCCTTCGGAAAGCCAAACCATTTTAAATAATCTGAATAACTCTGCCGCAGGGTTTAGCATGCGCTTCATACATGCAGTGTAAAGTGCTGCTACAAGACTGGGTTGGATCAAATCCAAAATTCATGCTTGCAGGCGAGCCAATCGTCGTTGTAGATAAATTTGTTTACCTGGGCAGTTGTATAAATTCCGGTGGACTGGCAGGAGATGAGATTAATTCTTGAATCGGGAAGGGCCAGGCAGCTTTTGCGAACCTCCGACACCTATGGAGCAAACGTGATATCAGTTTGTCAAGGGCAGAGTTTACACTGCAGTCGTGCGATCCATACTGCTTCATGGATCACAGATGTGGTCTCTCTGCGCAGAGGACATACGGAAGATGTCAGCATCGGTGTCTCCCAAACATTGGTCAGGTCAAGTGAGAACATCGGATTAGCAGTGCTGAGGTATGCCGGATGTTCTTACAAATAAGGAACTATCCCGCGGTGGATGAATTACTCAAGCTTTACGGGTTACGCTAATTCGGGCATTTGCCTCGTATGCCAGAAGACCGTCTGCCTCGCAGAACTTTATTCGCCCAGCCAGATGCTGATTGGAAGCAACAAAGAGGTGGACTTAGCAATGGAGTATCGAAAGACTAACTAGTAAGCTTAGTCAGGTCAACAACCGCCACCACCCTGGATGGGGACCCCGGGACTCAGCTCGACAATGGCAGACCTCGCGCACTCAGTGGCGCTTGTGCAGCAATTACCGCCTCAACCGCGCAGCTACCTAATTCTCGAAAGTACTGGATACGCCATCGTCTTCAAGGCTTCGCAGTGTCTCCCACTTTCCGGTGATCGAAGCTATAGCATTCGCAACAAATATGCCTAGGGTACACGGTTTATATCTGATAAATTGAATTTAAAATGGTCGCCCACATGGCTTCTGCCCTATCAGTGTCACACATCGGGTGCTTTCTTCTTTTCATGGATGTCTGCTCAGTGAGTTTCTAAGATGGTATAATGCGTTTCCATCTTGCCTGTAATCGAGTGGTTGCTGAGTTTTGGGGCCAATTTGTCATAACAGCAGCATTTAGTGCCTCAGTGATAGTCATTATGCCTTTCGGTCAGCCGGTTGGAGTGCCCAATTGGCTTAACTTCTATCCATGTTTGGTTCGAATGTGGGCTGGGATTCCTGGCAAGATTGTGTATAGTTCAAATCGTTGTGTGATCTGACAAGCTTGCCCCCCATTTTATGGACAAACTTGAGTGAAAGGCACAAAATTTCCCAATTAGTTGGGGAACATTAAAACGCTGAATTAGTTTTCCTAGTGTTTCGCGCCGGTTTCCAATTGACGTTTAAAGTTCTGGCTAACCTCATTCTTAAGGCCACGTATCCATTCTGGTTATTGGACGTTCGCAACCTCTGACTGAATGTCAGTTTCAAACTGAACAACATTTTGAAAGTATCAAGCGGAATTTTTCATAAATACCTAAACCATCTAGTGAAACTTGGCTGGATGGAAATATTTGAAGACGGAGGCCAGAATAAATGTATGCATCTGAGTGAAGCATCCATCACACTTCAAAAAGAGAGATTCCAGTGATTCGGAGTGACAGTGTCGACAATTGGCCAAGACAGAGTGAAAATAACAATGTATTGCAACAAAATCAGAACCAGGTGCGCTTCATCACAGTTCTCTAGAGTACCCGATTCAAAAAGTGCGTTGGCGAGGTTGACTATTTACAGAGTGGCAGGTGGACAGCAAGTCTACTTCAAAGACCATTTGCCTCGTCGGAGATCTTCTTTGACTTTGTGTTGGACAAGCTGCATGCAGGCTACGGCATCCTCAAGGCTACTGTGACCGTCATCTGTGGACGCAAGCAAAAAGGGTGATGAGAAAAAACGCACTGAAACAAAAACTGGGTATCAGTGACCAACCTAGCCTACACGGGCAGTCTAATTACACTCCGTAAAGAGTTGGAACGAATAAAGTACGATGGATATGCCGGTATTTGCAGCGTGTCCCCTACAATTTAACATGAACTGTATAGAAGAAAATAATCAATATTATACGGTATGCTATTGAAAACAACTCATTTTCCTGAATTTTTTGGATACACTGTACCTTGAGATAACAGAATGCTGTCTGAGAATGAAATTGGAAAACTGGGTCCAGTTTGGAGGATTTTCTGCGAATGATGTGATTAACAGTCGCGAACTGTTATGAGGTACACTCAAGAGAACAAACAAACAACAAATCTAGCAACTCTTATTATTTGAACAGATAGATTATCTCCCGGGAACACAATCCACGTGGTGAAGGGTGCTTCACTTGAACGTTATGCATTAGCCTCACAGTTAGATTCGAAATGTAAGCGATGATTACCGGGTCCTCGCATTGAGTCTATGGCAACCGACGAATAATTAAGTAAAGACGAAGTTCGTGGCACATGGATAAGTGCTGTTTGGGCATGAATAGGGTCAAATACTGGTCTACAAAGACTATGGATTGAGTACTCCAAAGAAGTTTGGGAAAGGTCAATAAAAGGCACTCACAAATCGACTATCTAACTATATACATACCGCGGAGACGTTGTACTGGAAGATTTTTGACAGGACAGAACGAATGGTTTTGTTCGCTGTTTGAAATAAACTGATGATAGTTGTTATGTCCGAAGAGTTGGGAATTTTAGTGGAGATTTCGTCCGGAAAGTCAAGCCAATCTAAGTTGAAAAGCTGGGGAGAGCTGTACAGAAGTTTCACATTTATTGAGAAGCATCAACAGTGCGCATCTCACAAAACCTAGCATTTCGAATCCGCGACATTCTGGCCAGTGGTTGAATACTCAACTGTTGCGAGCGGCTGGAAAGCAGGGTGATGAGCTCTTACTCAGACAGGACGTGATGGCACATAACCTTAATGACAGGAAACCACATTGCGTGGTCACGGATTTACTGGCTGTTCGAGTGAGGACTTTTCAGACGAGTTTCACCCAATGGACGGATATTATTCTTCCTCCGAACTACTCATGGATTGTTGGTAGTATGAGAAAATTTAGAAATTTCTAATGGAGATTTCGTTCTGTAATTAGAACCAATCTGTGTTGACAAATCGAGGTGATATTATCCGTGCGTCTCTGCAAGGCGGAGAGTAGTGGTGCGTTAGTAGCCTTAAAGAACCAAATTGTCCAGCTCAGCGGACGAACTAACGACCACTAGTTACGATTAATAAATGAAAGCAATTGCATTCCCGGTCAATTGCTGTCTTATTCATCCCCTGGGAATGTTCCTGAAGAGCACATCACTCGTAGAAAATGGAATTCAAACTAAAATGCGTAGGTTGCATAGCAACAGGTTGAGTTGTCTGCATTCTGAATTTCACTGTGCCAAGCATTAGGACGTATCAGAAATACAAGAAAAATGGGATTTTTGTAACAGCATTCTACACACAATGTATTTCCATAACAGAATGGGAAGAGATTTCAGCCATAAAAAAAACGCTCCCCCAAGGGTAACACGAAGTCCAAACCCGAGATTAAACACCAGTATAGAAATGAAGAAATATATAGCAGAAAACTTTGTGAATATTACAAGAGAACTTGCTTAAGGGTATAGACGAACTGGTCAGGTGGATTAATAGCGGCGTATGTTGATACATAACCCGCCACAGATACAAACTTCCCACTAACAGCCCATTAGGAAATGTTTTTCTTCGTAACTTATCAAAGAGTCCGATCCAGTCAACAGTATTTACAGTCCAGTTTGATGATACACATGCAGGTAACTCGAGGTAGACTGAATATGCATTTCTCGATAAATAAACCAAAACTCGATGATAAACTCTGTAATTGTGTTATAAACGTTTGGATTTAGATGACACAGGAAAAAAAGCCAAGGTAATTCAAGGTAATTCCAAGGTAATCCAAGGTAATTCACAACTGGATATTCTGACGTGAACGCGTAGAACTAGGTAGACAACAGTTGACCTGGATGTACTCGATTCCAACCAACGTACCGTTCGTTGCCTCACACGGGCGCGGGATATACTGACGTGTACGAGTGTACAGTGAGTTGCAGATACTGCGGAAACCCACAGCTTTCATCTCAGAATTGAGCACCAAACACATCCTCTTCCCTGGTTTGGGGATTAACATGCCGCATACATGTCACTGCTAGGATTGGGCAACAAATTCGTTTAATAGGCTAAGGTTCCATTATGCCTGATGGGCTCGCATGACAACAGTGTGCACCTCAGTCATGTTGGTAGTATCCTTTAGAGTACATTAGTGGTTAGCGCCACAGTACAATAAAATTATCGCTGGCTGAAGAAAGATCTCGCTTGTATTTTTTCATTAACGGGGTTTTGCATCGTATTTCCTAGTTTAAAAGCCACGGGACAAAAAAAGCATAACGCGAAAAAGCATTCTTGGAAGTATTCTGGGACCACTCACCATCTTGCTGTATGATCCGGTTTAACATTTCAGAAACGAGGTTACGTAAAGCTCGCTTCTTCGGTGGCCCATACCGATGAGGGAACATGACAGAAGTGTCCACGACCTTGCTGTGAATAAGTTTCAACGCCACCAAATCACTCTCCAGGCTGTGGCCAATCAAAATTGTGTCCGAGTCAAACAAATGCAAAAGTTTCGACTGGATATCTGTGATGCGTGTATCACACTGTTCAATATCTTCTCGTTTCAGGCCCGAGAACCTGGTGTTGCAATCAATTATAGTGTTATAAGGACGAACAATCGAGTCCAGCACTGGCTGAAACTTGGTGTCCACGATAGTTACTCGCCCAAGTTCACAGCCCGCTGTCGTGTAAACCATTTCACAATCGATTGCGTACACATTGACCGGAGTGGGCTCCTGAGTAGGAATGTCCGAATGTGCAGAATCATCTCGAATGGGAACAAGAGGTGGGAGGGTGGCCACAAAGCCTTCCGTGTCGAGCCATTTGTTGGCTTCGTGTACGTGGCCTTCAGTACAGAGTTGACATCCAGGTTGGCCGAGATCACCTTGGCAGCATAGGTAACGCAACTCGACACCCATTCCGGGAACTGCAGGGAGACATGAGAGATACATCAATTGATTACCGATAGAAAATAACTTCGATAGCTAAAGCAGAAGTCATTCTCCTAGGAGACGCAAGTCAGCAAGAACGGGTTATCAAAGACCCTAAGAAAACTTTTGCTTACTACGCTGCTTCACGGGCCGACTCCAATGGTATACACATTTTTCATAGACCACTGCGTTTCCCAACTCATCCACACAGTAACGTGCACCACAACGCGAACAAAGACGTTCGTTTCCTGTAGAAAAGAAAGAAAACCGACGATTAGTGTGCGTCCAACTATGCCTTTTTTTCATTTTAAAACTGTTCGATTACATTGAAATGGTAGAAGCCTTAAACCATCCGAACATAAAACTTCGGATGATCGATGTCTCAAGGGGCGTTCAACATCTGATATAAAACCCAAGAAGCTTGACATCTCTCAGGAGTTGATGTTAAATCACCTTCCGATTTCTATCGAGACACCGTAGTAATCTCGTCGAGTGACCTCAAGAATTCTATTGTAACATCTTTTCAAAATTCTGGGACGTCTGCAGAAAAAAAGGCATATGAAGGCAAGCGTATGAAGGCTTTTAAGGAATCTTATTTTCCGAAACCCATTCGATTTGAGATACCTGATTTTACTCCGATAGGGTCGGTGCTGCCCAAATTCCTTAGAACCATGTTTGCTAGGTCTGCTACCTAAGGAGAGGAAGAGGCACCGTACATTGATCAGGTGATCGTACGTTCGGAACCAGCGAACTGGTAGCTGCTAACTTCAAGTAAGAAAACAGTGATGCATCGAAAGGGGAGCTGTAAATGACCAAATCAGTTAACCAGTGCGACTAAATTCAGCATAACTCCGTTTGCACCGGAAATTTTGCATTGCAGACACAGACAAACCCATTGAGGCCTAAATATGTCTGCTAAAACAAAAGGAACTCGCAAAGAAATATGGGGATGGAGGGGAATAGAATAGAGCCCTGATAGTTGGGATTATCTTTGGTTGCGTTCAACAGTCTAGCGACACCCATAAAATATAGACCACGGGATTTGGCGTCCAGGCTGATAGTGTGACATACATGAAAGAACAATTGAGAAAGCATGAAGATTGAAGTGTCATGTTCTGACGAGGTTAAGTTCATCCCTAATTTCTTGATTCTTTTTGCTTACCTTAGATTGCGCAGCGGTTATGCACCAAAGATACGCTATGGATAAACCACTGAACCAGAATACGGGATGTGATCGACTAGCTCCATCAGCCAGCGGGAGGAATTGTATTCGATCCGATTGATGTAGTTCATATCTGGCTAGAAAATTTACGCATCTAGGAAGGCTAGATCTCGACCAAATCAAAAAACAGGATAATAAACTGAGGTGACAATGGTTTAGTCACCCACAGTAAGACCACTGTAAGGAACTAGATGACTTACTAGGACAGGAATCGTGGATAGAGCGCTTGTCATCCGGAAACAAAAGTTTGGCTTTGCCGTACGGGGCGTCTGCAGACTTGTCCTCACGGGGAAAGCCATTTTCAACCAGCTGCTCTTCGCTAAGCAGATAGCTACGCAGATGATCGTACAAAAGAGGACCTTTCGGTGGGGAGGGGATTTGACGGTAGGAAACAAGGTTAAGTGGAGCCGGTTAGGGAACTGAAGTAAAGCATGGAGAACCATAACTTGTTCATTCCAGGAAGTAACTAAACGATATTGCTGGTTTACACAAAAAATGACGGTGTTTCAAACTTTTCGTAAGTACACGGGAATGGCGCTCAGCGGAATGTCTACTGATACTGAGTACGTCTGTTTACGATTATTTTGAGTGATTTGAGCCCGCGCCCTCTTTGGTGTGTTTTGATGAGCTGAACACGTGCCACTATGGTAACATGCGTCTAACAGCAAGTTCCGCTCCAATTAATTGTACATAAGCGTACTATTAGACATCAAGTGCAGATGATTGTCCGCGCTGACCATGAAGCTTCGCACTCTGGAGGTTTGGAAAAAATAGAGGAAGAGATGATGGGAACATCCGGAAATCGTTGCAGCTTTTCCATGCAGAAGGTTCTCGAAAAAGTTCTTTCGCTTCTTCCATAACACGAACCTTTCAGATCTACTAAAACTTCCCGGTTTGCGCGGACATTCAATTTTAATTGGCGTCAAGAGACATGTCGAGTGAGATTGTGGTTGTGGAAGCTGTCACTCAGCCCCAGTGCTACCAGAAATCGAATACCTGGAAGCGCTTCCCTTGGTTGTGCCACAGGGAGAAATTGCAGAATCTGCAACATCTTTGGATATCTCTGTCAAGTGATCAACAACATGTGATATCGGATTGACGGGCAGACGATGCAGTAGGTCATGATGCATTTGTCAGACTTCAGAGTCTATGGAATTCTCGACGAGGAAACGAGGTGTGCAGATTTTGCACAGACCTGAAAAGTACAATACAACCGACAGGGACGTGGTTGAAGCCCGCACAGATAGCCTGTAAGGAGTGGTAGGTGGTAATCTATACCCACCACCAGTAAATGATGGCAATGAGGTATATTTGGGTTCAGGGCTGGTGAGCATAACGAGGTCAGACGATCTCCGCTGCTCTGAAATTCGGTGGTTAGCAAACAACTGTGGTAGATGTTATCGTTTGTCCGTGTCTCGTGATTTTATTGCTATAGCCAACATTGCCCAGGTTACTTGTAATCACCCTTGTTGATTTTCGAATTGTTTCCGCTCGGAACAAACTTCACGAACTATCTCACCACCTGGACGAGCCCATCCTAATTCATTCATCAACTGAATTTGCTGAAACAGAAACCACACAAGAGTTTTAATCAACCTTCCATGTAGTTTTCTCCAGGTAAACTAAAATGTTCCACTTTATCTGGGTTTCAAATGTTCCCTGCCAAAATTGTTCACCTGGTTAGCTTAATCCATAACTGTGGGTAAGGGTGGGAAAGCTTCAGATAGGTAAAGCAGTGGACCCACCCGCTCACGATCACGCTCACAAGTGGATGTGAAAATCATACCCACCACTTCTGAATGGTTAAAGAGAATTGGCTTCTCACCAAACATTTTGGATAAGAGATTAATGCTCCTCTGTTACTTTAATTGGGCATTTGGTGCCAAGCCATTTAACTCAGACCTCGACTGACGCCAGTCGATCCAAGCTCCTGATTGGCCACTGTGGATGAACAAGACCGCTTTTCGTTACCCACTCAGAGCCTACCGAACGAAGTTTGATTTAGGCCTGTGATCCGTGGACAATTAGAAGATACCCCACGACCGTTTGAAACCGGTCAATGCGCACTAGACCAACCTTGAACAATTTCATCAAGTTGTTTTTCAGCCGATTCCGCCTCGTCCTTGACATGTTCCGGTTTGGCGACTGACACTCTTGCTTGTTTCGGCCCCGAACCCGATTTTCTCACTCCTTCCGCCTGAACTTGGAGCTTCTCTGCTTTCAGTGATTTGAGGCGTTGAATGACAGCATTTAAATAAGCCATCCTGCTGGTGGCTTTATCATGGCAGGCTTGTTCATCTGTGAGGGCCTAAAACGCAAAGCAAAGCATAGGCATACATGGCTTTCAAAAGTTCAAGAGCAGTCAAGAGCAGATATAAAGTTGATGGTAGAATCATGCACTAAGATTGGCGACCGTATCGCAAACATTTGCAGCAAAATTGACAAACGTAGGGGACGACCCAGTGATCGCGTAAAAATTTCCAGATGATGGCGGTTCCACCATGGTCCCCTCAGGCCATTTAATTCCAGCGAGGTAACAAAAATATTCCAAAAATAAGAAAACCGTTCAACTGTAGCACCCTTTCGGTGCAGAGCTGCAACACCAACGGAAAGAAATACAAGGGCTGGGATACTGCCGGGTTGCCCAAGCTTAGACAGGAGCAGTCGAGATGCTGAGGTTGGGTTCGAACCACGAACCTTCCGGTCCGTAAGCTGGCTTCTAATCACTGAGCTATCTCGAGCAAGGTAAACTCAGACAAGAAACTAATGTGTGCGCTCCGATTTGGGGCCATAGCAGTCAGAACGGAGGCGCTCGTGTACGTTGATTTCGGTCAAAGTAAAACAATCCGGTTAAATCGAAATACATAGCCCAGAGTAAGGAGTGTGAATATTGGGAGACATTAGTGAAAAATGCAGAATATTGTCTAATCTCATGGTAAAAAGCTGAACCGTAGGCAAGGGGTTTGCGCCGATGGAAAGATTCACAATGAAAGCGAACCACATCCGACTCTTAGTGTGCGCAGCACCGACAAAGCTAATAAAGACTTGACAGTTTCTCGCGGTGGCTAAAAGTTGCGCTAAAGTGCATGAACAACGGAAACAAACCATCTACATTTGGGGCCCAAAGCAGCCTGAGAATACGGAATATACGGTAGACCCGTGAAGAACTAAAGCGAAGACGCAGTCTTGCTTGAGACCACACACAGCTTTTCCATGCCAGAAATTCTCTAGGCTAATCGGAAGAACAAACATCTCGGGCTAAGCGCTCGGAAATAAACTGGCTGGCTAACAACTTACTATAAGAAATGGTAATATAATGAATATCGCTGTAAACTGACCAATAGATATGATTCTCTGGACTCAGATCCTTCAAATTAAAAATTTTAAGCCGCAGGTCAAGAACTGTGAAATTTTCGAAGACCAAGATGCGCAGGTGTATCAAGAAATGGAAAAGTAACTTCGGGCGGCGTGGTTGCCGAAACGGAATAAACGGTCCATCGCAGCACCATATCATACCACTGATGTTCCTGGCACAGACAGTGAACCAAAAAACTCAGATGTGGGTAGCCCTATGAGGATTTGAGTCACCGGCAAAATGGGTGTTGGGCCAAGGATGAGGCAACTGACTCTGCTGGTGGCCGAGATGGAATAGAACGCATGAGGTCGGCAGTCTCTCTCCCCTATTCATAAAAAATACGGGGACCAATTTGTGTCAATGGACAAAATACGAAGCCCACAAATAAGATCAGAGGGTTCGGCCCTGGAACTTCCCAACATGGACCTGGTTTGAGTTATGGGGGTACAAACACACCACAGTTGGGTTCGGTGTAGCTTTTGATGTCCAAAAGCACTCTCGGCTACGGTGGTCACCTCCGATAAGCATTCTTCGCGCCGATCAGTGAGCTTGACAACTGATACTGCCGCACAAATAAGTAGTCTATTGGAATGTACGGCCTGCAGAAAACTCTGTGATTACTTGTGGGGGTGGAAGATGTGGCCATGAAGGCCATGTGGCACTCATGAAGGAATGCGTTTGGGTTCATTGAAAAGCTACTTCAATTGGCCTTTTCGATGGAGCGAAACACGCCCCCTGTGGAGTAAGTCTTGGAACATCAAAAAATATTGATAGGACGGTTGTAGTAGTCCGACAACTTTATACCAATCAACTGTAAAGTGATGTTCCTTGGAATCGCACTAATAAACGATTATGCTGATAGGTGATCTGGGGAACACGTCTGCGTTCCTGATGAGATCATAAGACAGCGAACCAGGCAGCAGACTGTTGACCGTAAATGTGTGGTCCTGAGCCTCATCTTTCGGCTTTAGTAGTTATTGCCAGTCCATAGTTACCGTACACGACACCTTTCTGTAGCTCTCTCCGACTGAGGACATGTGACTGGTGGAACTCCTGAATGCTAGCCAATGTACTTTGCATCTGATAAAACTTTTATTCTGGTTGGCAAGACAGGGGCGTATAACAAACATGGAGTGAATTATCCTGCTTCGAAATCCACAAGAAATCTTCTGGAAACTGCTGCCTTCAAACAAAGGATGATTTGCTCATCTGAGATGAAAGGTTCTCTTATTCATACGTTGAATTCTCCTGGAGACCGCAGTGTTCTCTAGCTCCACTAGAGAGGGGGGGTTGCAAATGAGAACATAACAATGGCATCTATGTTACATGTCGATAAGTTCACCTGATGGCTGTTCGCGTTCGAATACATTAAACCATCCCTTACAACAAGGAGGCTTGCAAGCGCCACGCCAGTTCGGATGTTCGTAGTGGGGAAAATAATTCTATGACTGATGTCTTCTACGGGAAAGAATTTCCAAGTCCAAGGGAACTACAAACAGATAGGTTGGTTGGTATCCGATACGGATATGCATGTGATGACAAGTGGTTTTCGTGCTGACGGATGTGCTACTGTGAATCCGACATAAATTGAAGGGAACAAGGTCGACGGGCAAACTAGCAGAAGTCAGTCGACGACCATTAAGCACACGGTGGCATTTCACGAACAATAACACCGTACTAAATGATTGTGCTGTGAAACTTCAAAGCCTTTGCGCTTCCGTAGGGCACAGCACTGTTACCTTAGCTCATCAAAAGATGCTTACACTGAAACCTTTCGGTTGCATTGAATAAAACAGATGGTACAGGTGCAGTAGGAGCACCCTCTTATTGTAGAGAAATAAAGAAACTCCTATGAACCTGCCTGTTAGCTTTCGCAGTTGACACAACATGAGAACGCTGGCTCATGCAGGTGCATCCACATGCTGAGCAGTTTCATAAGTTTACAGGCATTCGTCGCGAGTTACTTACAAATGGGTTGTTTATGTTGGACTGTCGAAACTTGTAACCAGCGATGAGCGAATTCGCACAAGGATCAGAAGCTTCTTATGCTGCCGAAGTGTTCGCCTCTCAGGGGACCACTGTATTGTACGAACTCGTACACGTTAAATATAGCCAGTAGAAAACAAAAACAGTCAGTGTAAGCTGAAAACGTACTCTGTCGTAGGCATCGTTCGGGAATTCGTAGATGACTAAGCACTCTTCTATGAACTGATCCAAGTACCGCGTCCGAATGGGCATCGGGATCTTATCGCTTTTCTTCAGAGGTGCCCGTGGACGAGGGTTCAGAACCACGGTTGAGGCGGTGCCATTAACATCCTCTTTTGGCTCGGACTATCGGGTTAGAAAAAAAACAGAGATAATATGCACTCGTGGTCAACTAGGTGACTGCGGAACAAATAACGCATCCACACGTGCGGTTATTAGGGAAGTTGTACTTTGAACAGAGCAAGGAACTCTTGACAAAACGGTAGGACTGAATAGTACTTACGGGATTTGCGTAATTTGTAATTGCACTAAAATGAGTGTCGTTCAGACAGTTCCCCACTTGTCCTGGTGCAACGAACCTGGTTAGTTCATCTCAAAGAGGAGAAGCACGAGACTCGGGGTTCACTATTTTAGCGTTCGCCAGCAGGAAATGTCCTTGACACTGTCGGAATTTGAACTCAAGACACCTGATATACGAGGTGAGCGTTTGATCACTACTGTAGTGGTAGACGCTGCAGGCACCTGAATTATCACACCTGAACAGACTAACGCATTTACACTAAGCCACATGATTAAGCTATTCAGAGCACCCAGCGACGACCCAGCCAGTATTCTGGTTGTGTCGATCGACTCGCCGCTTAAAAAGGACCATGATGAGCTCTCATAAGACCAGAAACCTGAGTGTGATTCCTCTCTTTGGTGAAGATTGCTCAGAATAAATAAAGTAGAACGTTGGTGGCTTAAACAAGGGCAGTGTGAACACAGAAAGGAGAAGCGACAGAGCAGTATACCACGGCAATGATGTATTCAGGGGTAGAGTTTGAGTCCAAACCGGAGCTTAGGGGGCTTTAATAAATCGAACCAGCCATACTACGTCCAAAAGAGGTGTACCTATCTCGAAGCTACGGATAATATTTTCAATGAGTACTAAAGTCTGGAATTCCCATAACAAACATAGGTGGACTTAACCCATAGGTTATCCGTTCTCCGTGTTTCACTGGTGTACAGCACATATTCCGTCTCTCTTTCGGTTCAACATAGAAAGGTGAAGTATCAATCAACGGGTATCGAGCGCACGATGGAATGCGGTAAGGTGAATAGGACCAAGAAATGGACGCCCTACAAACGAGGCAATCTGAGCAGCTTTGTTACACACATTTCTGCACACTCTTATAATTTGGGGAACTAGCGGTTATCAAATCCCGGAAACAGCGACAAGCAGTCTCCATTTCATTCATCATGGGTTGATGAAACGCCCCAAGACAGAACACTCGTAATCACTGTAGAGTATGGAATACTAATACTAATACTTATTCTTGATACATAGACATACATTTATTTAAACCTGTACTGTAGTGGCTGCCTAAAGAAGTTTAAAAGACTTGAGCAGCAAATAACAAAATGGTGGTAAATGTTGGGCGGTTGCAATATTCTACCTAACCGAAAAACCCAATGGTGGAGATCCGCACAGCTGTTGTTGCAGGATATCAAAAAGGATGCAGCATATCAATATCTCACCTCAGACATGTTTCCACCAAATACTTGACACTCATCTTCAGCCCCAACGGCATGCTTGTGTGCAAAATCAGCCACGCAACTTGAACGTGGACAGTGGCCAGAGGCTCTAAGTTTCCATTGAGGTTCAACGAAGGTAAATCTAATGTCTTCAACGGATCGGGTACATTCCTGACAGCGAGTCTGAACAGGAGATATCCAGTTTCTCCTTTGTCACGTCACATTATAACAAGTTAAATGTAGTATGGTTGAATAGTGGTTGATTCCTCTAACGAATATTTAATTTGTATAGTTATATATTCGTACATTTAATTTGTGCCTTATTCACCCGATACCCGTTTTGCAGACAGTTCTCATTATCTCTCGAACGTACTGATTATCTTCTACGCCGCTACCTCTGTACACGTTGTATCTACACTGTATGACTGCCCATATCCATACGTCAGCAAGAGCTAGCTACTCAACCAAATACCATGTACTGCAATGGTGTCTTGGTGTTTAGGACAGGGATTGTCAATAAATACTAGGGGCAGTTATTTTCCATCCAACTGAAAACTCGTGAGCGGAAAGCCGGCTCGTCGATTCGGAACTGCATTTTTTGATGCGCAGGCCCTTGGGAGTCAAAATGTGCCAAAATTTCAATGGAATGATTATTAAAACACCTAAAACAGTTATGTACATGGCCTTAACTTACTTGTAGTCTACGATCACCTTCAGGCTCCTTTTTGGATGGTCTGGTAAGTGGTGCGCCTGCATAGGGAAGAATCGGACTTAGAGCCGATTTGGGACCCTTTGTTTTAACCGTAGGAGGTTCATCAACTTTGGGTTTAGCGGGTAAGGGTTGATCACCATAAAGATCTTTATAGAGAGCCAGAATCTTCTGACGTTTTGTTGCTGCCGTCGCTGGAGAATCCTCAGACTCCTCAGGTTCATCAGTAGCATTACGTTTGCACGAACATGTGTTGGGCGATTCTGAAGGATACTTGAGCCGTGATTCCACGGGTGATGAGATTTCACCCGAAGTGACGCCGTGCTTGTGTTTGGGAGTTTTGCTTGACTGATTGGGGACAGCTTCTGTAGGAGGTCCTATAGGGATTTCGACAGCGTCACGCAGGTTAACAGTGGGGTTTTTAGTGGGTAACGGTGGGTACGCTGGGGAAGGTTGGTAGTTAAATGCTGGAGGATAAGTCAGAGTACCTACGGAACCAACAATAGCTGACTTTTGGTGCACCACCGGAGAATACGTAGGAGGTTCTATTGACTGATTCAAGGCCACACCACCTTTCTCATCTCCAGGTAAACCGTATATATTTAGGGAACATGGCGCATATTTTTCTAATTCACTGATAGGAGTTGGTTGATAGACCGGGACGTCGGACGAACGACTTGATGCAGCGGCTGTTGTAAGTGGTCCATTTGGATTGCGATCGGTAGAGGTGAGCTGCTCGCGCTGCTCGAGCAACTTGATAGGTGTGGGCTTGTAAACGGGAGCTGTCGCAGATTGATCAGCATTTACGTTCACGGCCTGTAAGAGTAACCGATGTAATCAACGGCAGAAATAAGCGAATTACCTCTTTTGTATTTTTTACTGCAGGTGTCCCTGTTGGATCGGCTGTAAATGAAAGAAACGTCAGGAAAATCACGGGTCATAATGAATTGGAAAAAACAGCTACAAACTGAACACCAAAACCAATTAGCAACTGGAACTGGAAATTTGCAAGAAAGATTGTACAGTGAGACCAGTGAACGCCGTGTATCCAAACCATCCAACTTGAGTGGTACAAAGCTGTAATAGGAACATTTATCCTCTGAACGATTTTCGGTTCGCGCATTTACTCCAGCTTCCGTGTGTAAATTTAAACACATTTCGAGGAGCCTGGTAGAGGTAAACAGTTTTTAAGCTAGGTGCATTAATATTCCCTTGGCTGCATCTGAAGTACCGAATAGTTGGATTTTAAGATAGCTCAGAGTGGGTTCCATGCATATACGACAAAAACGATGAGGTTTCGCGTCAGTTTGGACGGAAAACTGCACCACGGATAACACCAAAAGGTCCTGGAAATCAAGCAGCTCCCAGTATCGTGAGTGGGAGTGCTGAAGAAATTCCAGCATATCATATGAGAAGTGCCCAATACGGTTTAGTATGCAATCAGCCTCTATAAATTGGAAGCGGTCCTCTTTCGGGTTATTTAATGATCACTATTAAAAGGCCTAAGTGACCTTATTTTATCGAAAAACGGATGTCCGACATGCTACTGTTCATTTTCTGGTAGCCAGCCATACATACTTGGCTTTGTGAGAAAAACGAGGGTAGCTGTCCTCATGTACATGGGTTTGGAATGCACCGAATGGCTCTCATAGAACGCGAAAATAGAAGAAGGATGCATGACAACCTGCAATTTATAAGGCGGTTCCTTAGACTGCTGCCACTAAGGTTGGCCTTTGTATTGGCTATGACTGAGGTATGCGAACAGTCACTTAGGGAGCATCTGAAGCGTTTTCATGTCCATGCCCACCAATGTCTGAGAGTAACAACTGGGACAGACTGGTACCAAAGAAAGTGCAGCGAGGTGACCAACGAACGAACATTTGGAGAGATATCAGCTGCGCATGGTCGGTCAGGTGACGACGCTGTTACCTTATAAGAATAAATGGTGTTTCCCCCGCAAAATTGTGAGTGGTGCAAATCAAAAGATGAGCAATGTAAGACGTGACAAAAATGAATAAAGGACACGAAGGAAGGTTCGAGTACTGTCCGCCTTGCATGATGCATTTCATGTGCTTGGCAAGATATTGCGAAATATGACTGCTAGTCGACACCAGGAACGTTCAGTGTGTCAGTTCCCGCCTAGATTTCGAGAATTTGTAAAAGTGTAAGCACCTAGGACGTGTGGTAGGTTAGACACCCTTTCCTTTGCGCTGTATGGCGTCATTGTACGACAGCTATGTATGAATATCCTTACCCTGTCAGTCTGATCAATAGGCTATTCCAACGCATATTTTCTGGTAAGTTGTTCGAATCATGTAGACAGTTTGTGGTGCATTAAATAAACGATTCGTTTGATCCCAGGTTTGACATGTCATCTCTTATTGCAAACGTGAAGTGAGCACACCATGAGTTTGCGCTGGGGTACGAATCGGTAAATTTCGGGGAAAAGCTGTTATCCACTTCTGAGCTATGGATGGTTGCTTGTAGCTACGATAAGCTTGCGCACAGACCCCCACCTGAATAATCCAATGTAGTCCTTGAGTGTGTCTTTGATGATGATGATGATGATGATCTTGAGTGACAGGCAAAAAAGTATCATCTTCAGCGTGTAATTGCGTTCAAAGTCTATTCACGATTATGTGCCCTACCCCTTGTCAGAAACTGTAAGACCACCACCAACATCCACGAAAACAACATCATTGTAAAATCTTCGCGACAGGAAGTGCGTTCTTCTGGGGAGTCTTCAAATGTAACTCAGACTGAGTAGTTTACAGCCTGAAAGCATCACAGACAGCGCCCGTCGCGGCTGAAAGTTGAAGCAATAAAAAACGGTTCCCAAACATTGTGTGATCCACTATATGGTCGCTCAACCACACGTTCTGTGCACGTTGAGTCCGTAATTCGGCTAGTGCTTCCATTGATGAATACATAAATGCACTGTACTACGGGCTCTTAGCACAGGTATTCCAGTCTCATGCATGTATATTATTGAGGGCACTGTTTGAAAACCCTTGGTGACTAGCTCCTTATGGATATCGTAAGTCAAAATGACATCCTTCTATCTTTCCGCTGTGTGCTAAAATATCACTGCACTCAGTTTACGAGAATAGTGTATGAATAGGGGGTGATCAAGTCACAGCAGCTAATTATGCTGGATGCAGCTCTGCTTCTAACGGGGACGCACATGCTGGGGCGACTACAAAACTCAGAGAAATGATTCACATCCTAACGACGAGATTCTACTCCATTACAATGCTCTTTCCCAAACTACTCAAACTCCTAACTTTGGGACCTTTACAGTGAGAGTCCTTTATATGAGAAGCAGCTGAGGCGAAAGAATGCTCCGGTCCTTTTACGTCCACGGGATCAATGAGTGTCGCAAACCATGCAGACTTTTCACGCCCACTTTTCTCACTTGGCAGCAAAACAACTACAGCTAGCCAGATACTTGTTTATCTTGGACATTTGTGCCAATGTCATCCCCTGCCAGACCCGGTGGCTAAACAGGAATTTTTTAATAACCTGCACATAACGACCGGCCACAAAGCAATGGTGACCATGAGGAAATACACTGGTTTGCAAATTACATTGATGTTAACCAAAGCTCAACTGAATCCTTCGTTTACGATATTCCTCAAATAAATAAACCGCTTCATGTTTCAGTTGATACGATATTCGAGGTAATGTGGTGCATTTTGTTGCCAGAAGGCCTGGACAACCTACTATCACTTTCCTTCCGGGGGAGCAGTATTGATTACGCTGTCTTGTGAACTCTGTCCTTAGCATCAAGGCACAGGAGGCTCCGAAGGATCTCAAAACCTGTGCTGGTGTTCCCGACACATCATTCTGCCAGAACCAATGTTTTTATCCAAGTGGCCGAACTCGTTAGACATGGCGGCTAGGTTGTCCGGAAGCATGTTTTGGTTTGGCCGTAATCCATGCGGTGGAGAGTGCAAATCAGATTCCAAAGCATCTTGAAAAAGTAGGCTAGTAGGAATGACTTATGTTCCCGAAGGATAGGATATAAGAAAGGCAATATCGTCCATTAGCGAACGCTCCAGGGGCACTTCTTGGACGTTAGAAGCATGTGAGGAATACCTGACCACCATGTCAAAGGAAAATACGTTGAATGACACCACATGATATGACGCGAAGAAGGCAAATCGAGTTACCAGCCGACCCGCGGTAAGAGATTTACTAGAGGTAGTTCCGTGCCCATCAGCACCAGAGTTCTTGTTGTATCAAAATGACAACGTCAGTACAGATAAAAACGCTATAATTAAAGGGAAGAGGTTACTCTGCCGGAAAGTACCAGTGAAAAAGGCCGAATGCACTTACCCTTTGAATGATTGAAATGGCAATAAGGTCTATCACAAGATCCATCACTGAACATGGGGCAAAGAAGATCTTGGAACAATCCGGAAGTGGGGAACATAGTGGATTGCTACCCTCGAGAGCGCAGCTGGAAAATGGGTAGCCCGGAGGAACCGATTAGCATACCTGCGACAACAATAGATAATAATAGATAACAAACACGAAAGGGTTGCGGATACATCCCAAATGATCTGGGACTGCAGTTACTCTACCTGCATAAGACTACTTATTGGAACCAGATATTCAGGTTCACCAACCCTATCTATGAGCCTGCAAGTGTAACAGTAAAACTCAAGAAAGTAAACGGGGGATACCGGTATTTCTAGGGTAAACAGGCAACTGATACTGACACCCACTGTTATGCCATAATGTTTGAACTGGCTGATGGCCCGCAACTGGCTTGTGCCCGATATTATTTCCTCGGATTTACATCGGCGACAAGAGTTTGTGTGCGCCACCAAATTGGGCTCCGCGCAAACAGTATGACTTCTTACTGTGATCCGACGTCCAGTGTTCTGACCAGTGTTGACCGGATCCTCCTGTCACTTCAGACTACGACGACGGACCCTGTACAATGGCTACTGACACATGCGATTCGTGGTGAGCAGAATGCGCAGTTAACTGAACTCTAAGTACCCGGTGTAAGCCAGAGATAGCCATACCAGATGATGAACGAGAGGGGCAGTTCTAGAGCCATCAGCGTGCCTAGCTGGTGACCCATACTTGTCGATCCAAGCGGGTACAAACGAGAGTTCGAATTCCATACTGTTTTAAAAGGGTCAGTTGATGGCCTGTACAATACATTAGAGGTATCGTGGGCACGAATATGGGGTAAGATGGTACTAGCCATTACTTAATTTAGTCGGCAAAAAGGATCATAGGTCATTTCTAGCGTCGTTGTACACTTAATGCCCCGGCATATCCAGAATGTTAGGGCGGGGATTTTCAGACATATGTGGGAACGGCCTATCATCCCACACAAAATACTCTCCGGATAGACTGGGGGTATGTATTACTAATAGGCCGAACCAATAATATAACCGTATGACATGTTGTAGTTATCCATGGTTCGAGAACGATGGTCACCGAAAGTCGTTTTCAGCACTATCGCAGGCATTATCATCATCGACAGCATGACATCAGTGTTCAACACCGATGCTTCACTGCCGTACAACAATGACTTATTTGAAAGCCTTATTGTAAAGGAAAGAGTAAAGGTGGACGGGGAATGGAATTAGTGCCACCTTACCACAATCCAGAAACTCACTCAGGCGATCTGGATAGAAAATGACAACAAGAACGCCACTGACATCGATTGGCAGCCATATCTTGTAGTGTCTCCAACCAGGCACAATGAGGATCACGCGGTCCCCATCCTGGAAGGCGAGTAGCACCGACAGCACCCAAGCGTTTCGTGATCTCCTTCATGCTCCTCTGCCAAGTCAAGGGTTGGCCACCTCTCTGTTTACGCCACTCTGAGTTGGGCATGGAATACAGCACTCTTCGGCAAACGATGGTTCGGCATACGTAACACATGTCTCAACCAACGCAGCTTCTGGTGCTGGACACATTCTTCAGTGGAAGTACCCGTTACACATCCGAAAACGCACTTTCTAACTGCCTCGTTACGGATTCGCCGAAACCAACTATCGCAGGCTCAGCACATCGAATTGTGCAGTGCATCAAAGTACTTCGATCAGTTTTGTTCTTTACGGTATTGGTCAAGAAAAATCAATTCCAACATGGTTTCAAGCTTAGCTATATGTTAACCACAGGAATCTAGGGCAGATACAATAAACTTTATCCATCGGCGCTTCGTCGATAGAGCCGGTGAAACCAGCCCAACATGAACAGCGCAAACATGCCACTGTCATGGCAAATGCAGCCCCTTCTTATTACACACAGTGCCGATGGTATTGCGTATCCCGCCTCTCTGGCTGGAAGTTGGTGATCGTGGGACTGACGAGCCCTGGTTCGTACGATCTCTCTTTGTCTGTACGGTACAGGGCAGACTGTTTGTTGAAATTCAGTCCAATAAAGAACATTCCACCCTGGGACCGCGGAGAATATCACGAGCCACTGCATCAGGACCACCAGATGACGGAAAAGTGATAGGTTGGATATCTGAACTCGTCATAAAGAGTCGGAGGCGCATTACTGGGACTGGTCTTGTATGTGTTTCAGAGACAACGCACGTCGACAGAAAGGGAAAGCGAGGCTTAAGGAAGAAATGCCCGTTGCTCAATTTCACAGAGACCACGGACGCTGAAAGGTGAAACTTTGATCAGATTGTTTTATTTTGGTGACGGATCCTTTTCGGTTTAATTTACTGCGCGGTGGGTGGATTGGCCGCAGGATAACAGTAAAGGGTAGGAGCGGGTGCGAATGGGTGTGAACGGACGACTGCAAAGGCGAACGATACTCTCGGTTACCCAGGCCGAAGCAGATTTAACTGAAGCGTCCCACCTTGAGCCTCCAACTTAAAAGTTCGACCCACGAGACAATGGAATAGTGTATAGGTTTTTTACAGTACACTGCCCATAGCCTTTGACTCAAAAGTCTGACGCATCAAGCAGCAGGTATTTGGGTTTACCGGTGTAATGACCGGGGCAATGACTCAAGAGCCAGATCCAAGAGGCTGAGGCTGAAAACAAAGCAGCTGACACTCTCTCGAATTGTCTGTGCGAACACTTCATCGCAGCTGAATCTAAAACGGTTACACGCAATTCTGTGCCATCCTGGAAAATCACAGTTCATCAGTCATCCCTGATGAAATTAAGCGATTTCTTCCAGCAAAAAGGCGTTGCCACCAGTCGCGCCACTCCACATAAACCAACGGGAACGATTGAATAAAACTTTGTGGAAAGATAACACGTCTTTATCCATTACGATCGAAAAGTCTTCAAATCGCTTTGCAAGACGCGCTCCATTAGATTCGTCCCTTGTCGTGCACTGCCACCAATGCCACTCCATACGAACAAATGTTTCATCACACTCGAAAATCCGCGGCCGGTACACCATGGCCGCAGTGGTCGCTTTCGCCGGGAGCAGTTCTGATGCGGCGAAATACAGGACCTCCGTAGTCAGAGAGGTTGAGCTTCGGCAGTGTAACCTTGAATACGCATATGCCAGACACCCTAACGGCATGCAAAAACACGGTCTCCCTACGTCACCTGGCATATTCCGCAGATTTGGAATGCGCTCCAGCATCTGAACAGCAGCGCATATGCCGACACCCTAACGGCATGCAAAAACACGGTCTCCCTACGTCACCTGGCATATTCCGCAGATTTGGAATGCGCTCCAGCATCTGAACAGCAGCAATCGCAGCCCAACACGATTCATTTATTAGGCCGGAACTTTCTGACTGCTTTATGACTGATATGGCGAATTCTTCTGAACACCCGTTGGTTACACAACAGCAGACACGACCGTATTTCTTGCACAACAGAAAGGTCTGGCATTAATATGTTATAAAACGAACTCCTGTGAGCATTTACCTTTGCGGATACAAATGTAAGCAAACAGACCACACAAGCCCTGACTGAGGACTTCACCATCATCTTTGAACAATACGGATCAGAAGCTCGGTGGCCCGGGATGGCCCAAGTGGTTAGAGCGCGAATTTACTAACTGGAAGGTCCGTGGTTCGAACCTGACCTCTACCTCTCGACTTCCCCTGTCTAGGCTTGGGCAACCTGGCAGTACCCCAGCCCTCGTGCCTCCTTCGTGAGGTATAGCAGCTAGGCACCGAAAGCGTGCTACAGCTGAATGATTTATTTATTTTTATTATCCCCCACGCTTGGCTGGAAACACTGCAAGAAATGGCTGCTAGTCGACGTCAGTGGCGTTCGTATTGTCACTTTAATCCCAGATTGCCTGACTGAGCGTGAAGTGGGCTTGAGGGCGTGAAGTGGTTATACGGCAGTGAAGAATCAGTGTCAACACTGACGTTGCAGTATTTGATTATTATCATTGTAGTGCGACATATGAGACGAATGCACGAATCTCTAAAGCTTGGGTTCCGTTTGCTGATTTGCTACACCTATTGCGACAGAGTGGTATATAGCTGATTTCCAAGGAACGTGTGAATCAGGCCACACTGTGGGCTGTTTTGTTCGGCTATGAAACTCGGCCACTGAGAGCAACAGAACCGTCTTTGACAACTGTTCTCTCAGAACCAGAGCTCGTGAAGGCTGCAACAGCGAATCCGCAACGAAACAATCGGAAGACGAGTGTTCTGTTGTAGACCAGAAGATTCAATAAAAGAATCTTCCGAGCACCAAATGCTGTGGTGTTTAGACCATGTATTGTGCATACCGAACTATCGTTTTCCGGAAAGTGCCGTTCTCCGTGCCCAATTCAGAGAGCCGCAGGAAAAGGGAACGTCTGTCTTTGGCCTGGAAGAGGGGTGTGAAAGAGAATATGAAAAGTTTGGGTATTGTGGGTGCACCTCATCTCCCAAGATAGGGTTCGCGTGACGCCGTGTGCTTGGCTGATATGGTCGATAACCGATGTCAATGGCATTCTTGCTGTCAAATTCTATCCAGATAGTCTGAATGACATCCTGGAGGTGTATGCACCTAGCAGTCATAGGATACTACTAAGTACCTTCCCCATTCAATCTTAGTCTTTTTTCACAATAAAGTCTAAAAATAAAGTGATTGTGCGGCAGTGAAGTATTAGCTTTAAAACCCGATGTCACGCTGTCGATTACCATGATCGATTACTATGCATTTGCTGGTCCAGTGTAAGTTTTTGCTCAGTCTCTGTACGGATGACATTCGATGAAGTTTGGAACCATGGTGATGTGTTTCTTGTGCTATCCAGGAGAGTGTCAACGACATGGAGGTGGCTGGCTATTCTTGGTGGATCGGACTGGAACCCGAGGTCCATTGAATCGACTGTTCTATTGGACTTTCGACAGACGGTTATTCACTGTTCACCAACGAAATAACATCACTATATGAGGGTGAGATCCTGTCCCCATCGAGAATAAGAGGCATTTCGGGACATGTTCACTTGGAACCATCAAAAACGTTATTCCGTGAGGAAACCGATGCATCATGCTTACTTTGGTATCTCGTCGCCGGGATTAGAGAAAGTGCGTCTTTCCAGAGTTTTATCTTCGACCTGATGAACTCCGAGAAAGCAAAGTTGAATCTTAGTAGAAGCAAGCAGAACTCTGACATCCCTACTGTATACTACATGGATCCATCCAGCACACCACTCATACCGAAACGTGGTTTAGACAGATGTAGGGCTATCCTGAGTTTTTATCGGGCACCTGTGAAAATTCAAGCCGAGAGCGTCAGCTCACAGAGTCACGGATAGATAGAAAGGATCAAGGTGTTTACCCAGACTGTCCGGGTTCGGTTTGTTCCTGTCGTTTGGTAGCTGCGGTTGGAGGTATGGAATGAGTGTGAAGTAGGTGCAGCATTATCCATTAGGCAGCAGGCTTGCCAGTGGGGACTCCCATAAACAGCATTCAGAGATGGCCCAAGTGGTTAGAGCGTGAATTTACTGATCGCAGGGTCCGTGGTTCGAGCCCGACCGCTGCCTCTCGAGTCTAGGCTTGGCAACCTGGCAGTATGCAAGCCCTCGTGCTTCCTTCTGATGTCACGGCACCTAGGCACCGGGTGTGACAGCCAAATGATTTATTTATTATTATTTATTTATTCGGAGGCAATTTGAACCAGCCATAGATGCACCTATAACAAAGTGGAAGGCTATTCTATTCACCAACTGTCAAAAATGAGGAAAGTTGTTTACAAAAGTGCACGCTCCAACCTTGAAAGGCCTCACATCATGACCCGATGTGTTTATAGGGTCAATGGTGAAAATTTGGTGTCAAGATCTTGCTCACACAGGGCGTACCAGGTCCCCTTACAGGCGAAGCAAAACAAAATGAACCGTCCACCTGTTAGACCCTTCCGGTGCCTAGCTTCCATATCAGCCGAAGGAAGCACGAGGGGCGGGTTACTGCCAGGTTTCCCAAGCCTAGACAGGGGGAGTCGAGAGAGAGGACATGTTCGAACCACGAACCTTTCGGTCAGTATATGCGCACTTTAATCACTGAGCCATCTCACCCTGTATGCTTAATGTTGCCTGTATGTCAGTGCAAATAATACGAATAACATGTATTCTAAGAATGAACCCCGTTTGGATCGATTTTTGGAAAAGCGACAAGGAAACTTGGAAGCAGTGAGACACTGGTTCAATTTCCAGCGTCCGGAAATCTAATCCATTTGTACCGTGCCTGGAGGAGGCGTTTACGGAACCCGAGTAAAATAGGCATGCACTTTTCATCGCCCTCAGCAAGGTACCATTAAAAACGAATATCGTTACGCCGTCTATCAGACGTTCACTGTCCTTGAAGCTCAATAACTTTCATCGGACGCAACCAACTTTCGGACTATCCTCGTTTGCTGAAAAATGAGTTCAAGGGTAGGTCACTCGCTGACTCATGGGATAACAATTTGACGAAAACTGAAGCCCAGAGTCGAAGTTTGGTCTGTATTTTGTAAACCACAAATACGCCACTCTACAAGAACATTGTCCCCATTTGACAGTTAGATGAAGTGACTGGTTCGGTAACCGGTTTCCGTGGTCACATCCACCCGGCCTTTTAAGACCGACAGGTCTTTCAATTGTTATCTTAATAATGACCTTATTGACACGGATTAACGAGCTTCAAGGATTGATACACAAGCTCGAAGCCCTCGCCCAAGCTTATCATAGATTCGGTTTAACCCAGTGGAAGAAGCCATAGGAGACGTTCTGAACGAGCTGAAGAGGGAACTTGAGCATTATGACAACGAACTGCCTGAATCTGTGGAGGGACAGTGCTAGCCAGAATTCTCGAGGGAACGGTGTACTCAGCAATAACTGGAACACCCCTGATCGACTGACCTTTGGTTCCATACTCCTGTACTAGTACAGCTAGACCAGCTTATATAAGCCACATAAACATACGCGTTGAACCGTAATAATACTGTCAGTAGATGAGTATCAACCAAATAAAGAGCAACAGGATGCATGATGGTGGTCTGGAAATGGAGGCGTTGACCCCAGCGTTATGCAGAACTGCCCAAACATGCGTACTGTAATATGCACGGTATGGAAGCACCAGGGGGCAGTGATTCTCCGAAGCAGGTGTTCACGACAATTTCTGTGGATGGAAAACAGAAACAAAGCTCATGAGCCAAAGCCCAGTAAGCAAGGTTGCACATCACCAATACTTACATATGAATCAATCAAAATGACAGACACCGTATACTACAGTACATGAGCCGACGCTTAAACGCTGCGGCAAAGCTGACGCACGTCCGAACCCAACCAGAAATCCGATTGGTCGACCAGACAGATCGGACAACGGGGAGGAAGGGTGAGCGCACGTAGAAAGCCAAAGAATGGTTGATGTGAATCGCAAGATACCGTATATAGACAAAAACTCGTGTGGTTTCTGAAGGACAGAGCAGACATGTGCCGTGCTACGTGCGGAGCGGTGAACAATGGAATTACGCCGACCGGTACATTCGTCACAACCCAGTTAGCACGCGTCCGCCCCTGGGTGCAGAACCTGTGCGGAATCTGTGCAGAACTTCTGCACTGATTTTTGGCTTTTAAGCCGCGGAAGATTGAGACGTTTAATAGGCATCGAAGCTTCTTTATTTGTCTTACAGTAATAAAAAACCACAATACCCTGCATTTCCGAGTGCCTACGAAATGCAAACTGTCGACCCATTTAAGTGGTTTTGCTTTAGTGTGCGGCGCCATTGCTCGCGAGAAGCTCAGCGTTCTGCTCGTCCTCACGTACGGCTGAGAGTGAGTTTTGTTGTTCTTTCATATGCCTTATTCCTGGTGTGTTTACGTGAACGAAACCGTAAAAAGATTTTTCATTCCAAGCAATCGTCAGTGCGCCCGAAATTTTTTCGTGTTGCTCGTAAGGGCTGTTCAAGAACAACGCTATATAGGAAAGTACGACAGGCGGTTGCGGCAAGTGGCTGTCTTCGTTGCCCGACTGATGGATGCGTCCATAATGCCTTAAGTCGGCTATCTGAGGGTACGATTCATGAGTAATCAGATGATAGGTTCTAGATACGCCGCATTTGACCGTCCCAGGGGATAAACTAGGCTGTGAGTTACCACGATGTTCGCCGGCGGTTTCCCCGATCCCTGTTATCAGGACCTTGGAAACAGAAAGACATTCACCACTGAGGTCCCTGGAGAACCTTTCGGTTCCTGCTTTTTACCACAGGGTAGCCCACTGCAACTCGTTGAAGGGATCAGCCCGTATTTTCTGCATACACTCATATTGTTTTTCATCAGTATCCTTTTTAAACCATTCACAACCAGGTAGAAGTATTTTAACGGCTGTTCGTCGGATGGCATGAAGGCTGAAATGAGCCGACGCTTAAACGCTGCGGCAAAGCTGACGCACGTCCGAACCCAACCAGAAATCCGATTGGTCGACCAGACAGATCGGACAACGGGGAGGAAGGGTGAGCGCACGTAGAAAGCCAAAGAATGGTTGATGTGAATCGCAAGATACCGTATATAGACAAAAACTCGTGTGGTTTCTGAAGGACAGAGCAGACATGTGCCGTGCTACGTGCGGAGCGGTGAACAATGGAATTACGCCGACCGGTACATTCGTCACAACCCAGTTAGCACGCGTCCGCCCCTGGGTGCAGAACCTGTGCGGAATCTGTGCAGAACTTCTGCACTGATTTTTGGCTTTTAAGCCGCGGAAGATTGAGACGTTTAATAGGCATCGAAGCTTCTTTATTTGTCTTACAGTAATAAAAAACCACAATACCCTGCATTTCCGAGGGCCTACGAAATGCAAACTGGCGACCCATTTAAGAGGTTTTGCTTTAGTGTGCGGCGCCATTGCTCGCGAGAAGCTCAGCGTTCTGCTCGTCCTCACGTACGGCTGAGAGTGAGTTTTGTTGTTCTTTCATATGCCTTATTCCTGGTGTGTTTACGTGAACGAAACCGTAAAAAGATTTTTCATTCCAAGCAATCGTCAGTGCGCCCGAAATTTTTTCGTGTTGCTCGTAAGGGCTGTTCAAGAACAACGCTATATAGGAAAGTACGACAGGCGGTTGCGGCAAGTGGCTGTCTTCGTTGCCCGACTGATGGATGCGTCCATAATGCCTTAAGTCGGCTATCTGAGGGTACGATTCATGAGTAATCAGATGATAGGTTCTAGATACGCCGCATTTGACCGTCCCAGGGGATAAACTAGGCTGTGAGTTACCACGATGTTCGCCGGCGGTTTCCCCGATCCCTGTTATCAGGACCTTGGAAACAGAAAGACATTCACCACTGAGGTCCCTGGAGAACCTTTCGGTTCCTGCTTTTTACCACAGGGTAGCCCACTGCAACTCGTTGAAGGGATCAGCCCGTATTTTCTGCATACACTCATATTGTTTTTCATCAGTATCCTTTTTAAACCATTCACAACCAGGTAGAAGTATTTTAACGGCTGTTCGTCGGATGGCATGAAGGCTGAATCTACCATTATCCGGTTTAGCCGTTGTGTTGGACGAACTGAGGCACTTTTTTCGTCCACGGACCGTGATGAAAACTCCCCGTCGTTGCTGCGTGCGACAGAAGGTCGATGGGATGTACATCCACCTTGGGTTGAAAGCAGGTTTGTTGCAACAGCTCCGTGAGATTCACACTAGGGTTAAAATATCGACATTCAAGTGAACGTTGATGGTATTCAGGCCTATAACAAGTCGCGTACTCAAGTGTGGCCTATACTCTTCCGAATAATTGCACCCTTTCTCGGTCAGCCCTTTGTCATTGGAATATACTGTGGTAAACAAAACCCCAACGATGCCCATCAGCTGATGTCTGAAACGGTCGCTGAGTTGACGCACGTCTTGGTGAACGGTGTCTCCAGGGTTTACAATATACACACCATCCGTCTTCAGTGCGTTACTGGCGACAGTCCTGCTAGGGCCTTTATGAAGCAAGTGAAGGGACCTACAGGATATTACGGCTGTGATTATTGTACACAAAAGGGCGTGAACATTGGCATACGTGTGACTTTTCCCTCGTTGACAGTTCCCTTGCGTTGTGACTCTGATTTCCTGAACAGAAAGCAAGAGAAGCACCATACAGGTCCAAGTCCGACGGAGGAGTTAAATTTCATGATTGCTGGTTTCCCACCAGATTACACGCATAGTATGTCTTGGTTCAGTGCGGAAATTTTACAGACGGGTCGGATCGTGATTCCAGTGGTGTCACCAATTTTTTCGTAAACATAGTCATAAGCCCACCAACTCCAAAAAGACTAGGTTCTCCCGCACCTACCATCTTTTCGATTTGTTAATTCCTCGTCTTTAGATGCACTAATCCGACTACCTCGAATAGTAGTATCATTCCTGTTCAAGACGCGCCACCCGTCCCTGGGGCTCCCCCGATGATATGTGGAACGTACATTTTATTTCATTACCACCACCTAGAATTTATCAGCAGTTCCACATATACAACACTTCTCGCCGTGGGTGACCCAGAACCACGCACTTCGACCCCGATCCTAAGGTTTTCTTAACATTCCATGTACTTTACTTTCTAGAACTAACTCTCCAAATTCAAAGGCCAGCGTAATTTCCCCGGATATGGCCAACCTCATTCTCAGTGAGTAGATTACCATGTTTTGATTAAACTATTTTATAGAGAAGTTGGAGGGGATCTACTAGTTACTCCAGAGACTGCATATGAAGCTGGACGCTTTATCACCCACATGCAGTTCTCAGACACTCGACGAGCCCCCTCTACCGCTGTCATCCGTGGACGATCTCCGAAAGTATGAAGAACATCTAAGAAATGGTCCACCCTATGCACAGCTGGTAAGTGTTACTTTTATTTGCGATTATTGATTTCACAAGGGTGGAAAGGTGGCTCTTGCAGGCGGCTGGCGATATACAAATGTGAGTTACCAACGTGCTTACACGGACGTTGGCACCAAGGCTAACCGTACTACTCTATTGGCCCGGAATAAATGAAAAAGAAGACTTTGGGTCTACCAGGTGGCCTTAGGACTTGTTTGTAAGTATTTAATGGTTATGTTATATTTAGCTAGTTGAATCAGTGTCCGGATGAAACTCAATAACTATGTTCTTCATTACAGACGCCTTAACTGAGAAGTTTCCGAACACAAATCTGCGACATATAAAGGAAATCGTCCATCACTGGCTGGAGAACGAACGGCAGAAAGTAGGGGAACGCCTGCAGAGAGCCACCAAGAGTGACAAATGATTTCCCCCCTGTATTTTTTAAATTTATTAAGAAAAATGTGTGTACTTGAAGGCGCTTATTGATATCCGGGAAGATAAAACGTTGAGCGATTTTGTGAGGACAGATGGGTTATCACGGCAAGGGAGCGTAGTGTTTAGGAAGTTACTGAATTGAAAAAAGGAAAAGAGATAAGTGCTTATAATGGGCTGCATTCGTTCGTCGGACGACTTCAGATAAGTGCGGACAGAATTCGCACAGAATCTGCACCCAGGTGCAGAAGTGTACAGATAGTGTGCGGAAATTTAAGCACCCGTGTGCGGACTGGTTGCGGAAACTTGTTTCATCTCCGCACTGGTTCAGCACCCGCGTGCAGAAATCTGCGGACACTCTGCGGAAATGTCCGCACCCGGGTGCAGATATTTCTGCACCGGTGCTAATTGGGGAAACATCATCAAAGACAGCAACATTATTCTTGGCGCTGATGCTTCACTGCCAAAGGACCATAAGTATCATCTAGTTATATAAATATAATTATATTAAAAGCCCTAGATTGAAAAAGGAGAAAACGAGTGGGTGAAGTGGGGACCCAGTGCTGGCCTATGTCAAGCACGGATTTCTCACAAATCGTTCCTGCGCGACAAAGATGCTCGTGATTATGGGCAGCTTAACCCAAGCCAAGGACGAAGGACTCATACTGAATGCCAT